TCCAGAGTCTCCTGGCATTTCTGAGCCGAGATGAATGATCTAAAAATTACCATATGAGGGATTAACTATACTACCCCTCATCCTCTCTTGTTGAAGTATGTTAACGATCTGTCCTTCACTGTGTGTAATTTCACACCGTCATGATCATTATTTATGTATTACCAGCACCCCCTTGACTGCATAGGACGCTTTGTATAAATGGTGCTGAAATGTATATAACAATACTGATGTTATAGATCCTAAGCCTCACATTCATGTGAAAAATCCTTTGTCTAGAAATTAAACATTAACACGAGGCTAGGGGTGTGTAAAGTATTGTTATTCAAATTTAGGCGCCGTTTTTGCCAAGTGCTCATTACATTGCAAGTTTATGAAGGGAAATTAAATTAAATTTGTTAAATTACATTCATTTTTTTCTTTTTAAAATTAAAATGTAGATGTATGTTGAGCTGTATGGAGATACGACACAAGACGAAAAGAGCCTAAACTTCCCTGCCAAGGTTTTTTTACGAGTGCGGCATATGGGTGGGTCAGTCTTTAGAGATGCTACTGGAAAGACCAAGGTATTCCATCAGCCATTGGGATCAGAGCGAAAATTTGAATTTAACCGTTTTGAAATAACCAACACCGCAGAATGTAACAAAGACAAGAAGAAAGGCATAAGTAANATTTCTGAGCCGAGATGAATGATCTAAAAATTACCATATGAGGGATTAACTATAATACCCCTCATCCTCTCTTGTTGAAGTATGTTAACGATCTGTTCTTCACGGGGTGTAATTTCACACCGTCATGATCATTATTTATGTATTACCAGCACCCCCTTGACTGCATAGGACGCTTTGTATAAATGGTGCTAAAATGTATATAACAATACTTATGTTATACATCCCAAGCCTCACATTCATGTGAAAAATGCTTTGTCTAGAAATTAAACATTAACACGAGGCTAGGGGTGTGTAGAGTATTGTTATTCAAATTTAGGCGCCGTTTTAGCCAAGTGCTTATTACATTGCAAGTTTATGAAGGGAAATTAAACTAAATTTGTTAAATTATATTCATTTTTTACTTTTTAAAATTAAAATGTAGATGTATGTTGAGCTGTATGGAGATACGACACAAGACGAAAAGAGCCTGAACTTCCCTGCCAAGGTCTTTTTACGAGTGCGGCATATGGGTGGGTCAGTCTTTAGAGATGTTACTGGAAAGACCAAGGTATTCCATCAGCCATTGGGATCAGAGCGAAAATTTGAATTTAACCGTTTTGAAATAACCAACACCGCAGAATGTAACAAAGACAAGAAGAAAGGCATAAGTAAGTAGATATACCCTAGATATACCCTAGATATACCCTTGCAGCAGTTCTAGAAACAATAGGCTACGGTTTCCAAGGGGAGTTTTTCGAAGTCTATTGCACTTGCGCACTAGACTCGATGCAGCTCAGTGAAATACTTTTAGCAATCCCAGTGGACCCTTTCGGGGTCGATAATTATTTTCTGTGATGTGGTAAAACAATTGCTACACGAAGTTCATATTACGTTGGATAGTCGGGCAGGGTCATAATTAATTAATCGG